CCCGTACTGGAAAGCGTCCCAACATGTTTGAACTATAAATTAACCCGTACTGGAAAGCGTCCAACATGTTTGAATTATAAGTTAACCCTACTGGAAGCGTCCCAACATGTTTGAATATAAGTTAACCCTACTGGGAAGCGTCCCAACATGTTTGAATATAAGTTAACCCGTAATGGAAAGCGTCCCAACATGTTTGAATTATAAATTAACCCTACTGGAAAGCGTCCCAACATGTTTGAATTATAAGCTAACCCGTACAGGAAGCGTCCCAACATGTTTGAATATAAGTTAACCCATACTGGGAAAGCGTCCCAACATGTTTGAATTATAATTAACCCGTACTGGGAAGCGTCCCAACATGTTTGAATTATAAGTTAACCCGTACTGGAAAGCGTCCCAACATGTTTGAATTATAAGTTAACCCGTACTGGAAAGCGTCCCAACATGTTTGAACTATAAGTTAACCCGTACTGGAAAGCGTCCCAACATGTTTGAATTATAAGCTAACCCGTACTGGAAAGCGTCCCAACATGTTTGATTTATAAGCTAACCCGTACTGGAAAGCGTCCCAACATGTTTGAATTATAAGCTAACCCGTACTGGAAAGCGTCCCAACATGTTTGAATTATAAGTTAACCCTACTGGAAAGCGTCCCAACTGTTTGATTATAAAGCTAACCCGTACTGGGAAGCGTCCCAACATGTTTGAATTATAAGCTAACCCGTACTGGAAAGCGTCCCAACATGTTTGAATTATAAGTTAACCCGTACTGGAAAGCGTCCCAACATGTTTGAACTATAAGTAACCCGTACTGGAAGCGTCCCAACATGTTTGATTATAAGCTAACCCTACTGGAAAGCGTCCCAACATGTTTGAATATAATAACCCGTACTGGAAAGCGTCCCAACATGTTTGAATATAAGCTAACCCGTACTGGGAAGCGTCCCAACATGTTTGAATTATAAGTAACCCGTACTGGAAAGCGTCCCAACATGTTTGAATTATAATAACCCGTACTGGAAAGCGTCCCAACATGTTTGAATCATAATTAACCCGTACTGGAAAGCATCCCAACTGTTTGAATTATAATAACCCGTACTGGAAGCGTCCCAACATGTTTGAATATAAGTAACCCGTACTGGGAAGCGTCCCAACATGTTTGATTATAACTAACCCGTACTAGAAGCGTCCCAACATGTTTGAATTATAAACTAACCCGTACTGGAAAGCGTCCCAACATGTTTGAATTATAAGTTAACCCATACTGGGAAGCGTCCCAACATGTTTGAACTATAAGTTAACCCGTACTGGGAAGCGTCCCAACATGTTTGAATTATAAGTTAACCCGTACTGGGAAGCGTCCCAACATGTTTGAACTATAAGTTAACCCGTACTGGAAAGCGTCCCAACATGTTTGAATTATAAGTTAACCCGTACTGGAAAGCGTCCCAACATGTTTGAACTATAAGTTAACCCTACTGGAAAGCGTCCCAACATGTTTGAATTATAAGTTAACCCGTACTGGAAAGCGTCCCAACATGTTTGAACTATAAATTAACCCGTACTGGAAAGCATCCCAACATGTTTGAATTATAAATTAACCCGTACTGGAAAGTGTCCCAACTTGTTTGAATTATAAGTTAACCCGTATTGGGAAGCGTCCCAACATGTTTGAATATAAGTTAACCCGTACTGGAAAGCGTCCCAACATGTTTGAACTATAAGTTAACCCGTACTGGAAAGCGTCCCAACATGTTTGAATTATAAGTTAACCCGTACTGGAAAGCGTCCCAACATGTTTGAATTATAAATTAACCCGTACTGGAAAGCGTCCCAACATGTTTGAACTGAAGTTTTACCCGTACTGGATAAGCGTTCCCAACATTGTGTGAACTAATAAGTTAAACCCGTTACTGGAAGCGTCCCCAACATGTTTGAACTATAATTAGTTAACCCCCGTACTGGGCAGCGTCCCCAACATGTTTGAACTATAAGTTAACCCGTACTGGAAAGCGTCCCAACATGTTTGAACTATAAGTTAACCCGTAATGGAAAGCGTCCCAACATGTTTGAACTATAAGTTAACCCGTACTGGGAAGCGTCCCAGGGTGGAATAAACATGTGGCTGATCAATATGCTGAAGCTAAGAATGCTTTTGGGGCCTGGGTCCGGGCAGGACGGCCCAGAGAGGGGCCTGGATCTCAAAAAGCTTACAAATGCTAGATATAAATATGCAGGTCGTTATGTCAACAAACAGAAACATTGAGAGCGGATTCTTTGGCTGCAAAGCTCCTTCATAATGATGTGGCTTCTGGAAGGAGGTGAGCGCTCTGAACAGGGCCAGTACGCCGTGTACCATAGAGGGAGTATCTGGAGCCCATGACCAGTGGCGTTTTTATATGCACAAAAGTGGTGGGGCCCAAAAAACTTAGATGTCTATATATAAGCTTCTGCAGTGACGTGCAGTGAGGTTCATGGCTGCTGAGGCACTGGCACTGACTCTTCAGGTTTACACATTTATATTTTGACCTAAACCAAAATATAATATTATTTTCAAAAGCTTTTTTTGTCTGATGCTTCGATTAATTTTAAACAGACAGTTCAACAAAAGGATACCCAAAAAATGTCATTTTATCATTTAAATATTGAATTGTTCTCTCTTAGTAAGATCCCATTTTCAATCAAATGGCGGGTCTACCTTGACTTGAAGATGAAGTCCATTTGCCTATCCTTCTGGACAAACATTTCTATTACTTTTTTGTAAAAGTCCTCCTTATCTTCTTGTAGTTTCAAAAGTCTATCATAAATCTAATCGATAGATTTATGATTCAAAATTATAAAAGTAGGGTAGACATGTGGATGTTATCCGGCTGATCAAAACGTGCATTTATCTAACAGGTACGTTTCCCACAGATCTTATTTACAGCTATTTTCTAAAATCCTATGGAGAAATCTCATTGCTTTTTTGTCGAGGGAAGCCAAGCGCAGCTTACTTCCTGGTTTTAGGACGCGTCACTGCAGCTCTCTCGTCTCCTCTTCACACACCACACTTTTCGCGGCACACGTACTTACAGCCAATCAGCTCTGAATGATGTGAGATGACGTATGGTGGGGATGGCAGCTCTGTGCCCCTACGGTCATTATTTTTTTGCCACACACATTAAATAGGAAAATACTCTGAGCATGCGCAGTGTAGTTTTTACAGTCACCGTTCACTTAGACAGTGAGAGGGAGGGGCATGATCAGGTTTTGTCCCACATGGCTCTAAACAGCTCAATAGGCACACACTGTGACTGTAGACACTAATTAGAAGAACAGACTAAAACAGCAATGTACAGACGAATCAGATGATTAAACATGATCTTAAAATATATTTTATATATTTTTTTTGCATTTTTTGTAATCATTATTTGTAATACTTTCTGCTGACACTAGGTGGGGCTGTGCCGAATCACTGCAGAGCACCTTAAACTGGCCAGCCCGAAGGTTGCAGTTGTTCTTGCCATTTGTTTTACCGGCCTCACGGCTCACGGCGTGTTGCCGGCCTCACGGCTCACGGCGTGTTGCCGGCTTCACGGCTCACGGCGTGTTGCCGGCCTCACGGCTTCACGGCGTGTTGCCGGCCTCACGGCTCACGGCGTGTTGCCGGCCTCACGGCTCACGGCGTGTTGCCGGCCTCACGACTCACGGCGTGTTGCCGGCCTCACGACTCACGGCGTGTTGCCGGCCTCACGACTCACGGCGTGTTGCCGGCCTCACGGCTCACGGCGTGTTGCCGGCTTCACGGCTCACGGCGTGTTGCCGGCCTCACGACTCACGGCGTGTTGCCGGCCTCACGACTCACGGCGTGTTGCCGGCCTCACGACTCACGGCGTGTTGCCGGCCTCACGACTCACGGTGTGTTGCCGGACTCCATGCTGACTGTTACCTTGGTGTCTGTCATTAAGGACAAAGCGGGCAAGGTAAGGAGCTTGAGCCGGCGTGTTATCCAAAGTCCTGGAAAGAATGTTGTTAGATATTGTTAGGGGAATTTCTCTCCCCTTCCTCCACCCATTCATCTCTGGATCTAACATGAGTGGGCTTTGTTAGGTGTACATGATCTAGTTTAGTCTGTAGGCCAATGAAAACACTTTTATCATCATCATTGGACATTACTGGCTTATTTAAACAATCACTTAACTATTTTTAAAGTAAAGTATTTTTCTTTTTGGTGGAATCCCAAGTATGCTGGACATTGGCACGGTCCTGCTGCGCCACTTGATGACGTAGCATCCTTGAAATATTGGCTTGGCAGCCAGTATCCTCGCGATTGAGAAACGGCCAGTATGTGTTGGTTCAGTTTGATGTCTTCCAATGAGACGTCCTAACCTTTGAACTGTTGAAACAACATCCATGACATTCATCTGCTACTTGGTAATCATTTATCTATTTATCTAATATTTCATTCCAATAACTTGCATAGACTCTTATTTCACTTTTTCTAAACTACTTTTCTTTTTGCATTTACTTTTTAATATTTACTTGCACTATGTTTTTCTGTGTTATTGTGTTGCTCTGTTGGAGGAGCCTCTGACCTAAGGTTTTCATCAACATAACTGCTCTGTAGCTACGGCTGGATGACAAATAAAGAACCTTGAACCTTGACTGGTATCTATAAATGATAGCTTGTGTAGTCCTTTCACGAAAAGATTAGAGCACACACAATAACCCACACACCCACACACACACAATAACCCACACACACACACACACACAATAACCCACACACACACACCCACACACACACAATAACCCACACACACACACACACACACAATAAGACACACACAAGCTGTGTTTTCCCTCGGCCATTTTATTATAAAAGTTGAGTTTCTACTGACAGTGAACAGGAAATAAAAAACAACATGAATAAGGGGGGGGGTAACCATGGCAACACACAGGGGTGCAGGGTAACCATGGTGACTGTGAGGGGGGCAATTTAACATCTGATGACCTCTCTCACACACACACACATTCTCACACAGCATACATTCTGAGGCCCAGTGTGAGTGTTTCAGAGTTTCTGTCTGTCTGTCTGTAACCTGTCTGTCTGTAACCCGTCTGTCTCTCACCTGTCTGTCTGTCTGTCAGTAACCTGTCTGTCTGTCTGTAACCCGTCTGTCTCTCACCTGTCTGTCTGTCTGTCCGTCTGTAACCTGTCTGTCCATCTGTAACCTGTCTGTCTCTCTGTCTCCCTGTTAGCCGTCTGTCTCCCTGTAACCCGTCTGTCTCTCACCTGTCTGTCTGTCTGTCAGTAACCTGTCTGTCTGTAACCCGTCTGTCTCTCACCTGTCTGTCTGTCAGTAACCTGTCTGTCTGTAAGTGCTGCTATCACTGTTATAATAATTATAATAATGACTGTAGTCGTTTCAATATGTCGGAGTGATTAAAATCTGCTTCCTGTCTGTCTGCCTCTGAAGAGGCTGGATATGTGTTCACCTGTCTGTCTGCTCTGAAACACACACACCTACCTGTCTCTCTCTCTCTGTCTACTCGTCCTCTTCATCATCATCATCATCCCCCTCATCATCTTCCTCCGCCCCTCCTCCCCCTCCCCCCCCTCCCCCCCCCCCCCCGGCCTGAGCTGAGGATCCAGGAGTCCTGGAGAAGGTAGTCCCGCCCCCACGATACGCCACCATGTCCTACAGACAGACAGGCACACAGACAGACAGGTTAGAGACAGCTTACAGACAGACAGGTTACACACAGGTTAGCGACAGACAGGTTAGAGACAGGTTACAGACAGACAGGTTACACACAGGTTAGAGACAGACAGGTTAGAGACAGGTTACAGACAGACAGGTTAGAGACAGCTTACAGACAGACAGGTTACACACAGGTTAGAGACAGACAGGTTAGAGACAGGTTACAGACAGACAGGTTACACACAGGTTAGAGACAGACAGGTTAGAGACAGGTTACAGACAGACAGGTTACAGACAGACAGGTTAGAGACAGCTTACAGACAGACAGGTTAGAGACAGGTTACAGACAGGTTACACACAGACCGGTTAGAGACAGGTTACACACAGGTTAGAGACAGGTTACAGACAGGTTAGAGACAGGTTACAGACAGGTTACACACAGGTTAGAGACAGACAGGTTAGAGACAGGTTACAGACAGACAGGTTACAGACAGACAGGTTAGAGACAGGTTACAGACAGACAGGTTAGAGACAGGTTACAGACAGACAGGTTACACACAGACCGGTTACACACAGGTTAGAGACAGGTTACAGACAGACAGGTTAGAGACAGGTTACACACAGGTTAGAGACAGACAGGTTAGAGACAGGTTACAGACAGACAGGTTACACACAGACCGGTTAGAGACAGGTTACACACAGGTTAGAGACAGGTTACAGACAGACAGGTTAGAGACAGGTTACACACAGGTTAGAGACAGACAGGCACACAGACAGACAGGTCAGAGACAGGTTACAACCCTAACAAACACTAGTTATTAGGGATGAGAATTTGAAAGCAATTGTATATTCGAATATTCGACCCCCCAAAAGACGGTTAACCGAAATGTAAATATCCTAGAAAAAAAAAAATTGGGTAAAAAAAAAAAATTCTAACATTTTTTTTCGAAAAAATATTTTTCAATAACTTTTGGAAATAAATAAATACATGTTCAAATAAGTTTAGAAACCAAGTCGAATTTGTCAAATGTATTGAACTGGTGATCACAGTTTGACAGCTATAGGCCTACAGCTTTCATGTGCGGAGGCAATTCAGGCCAGCTGTAGAGGAGACCCTCTCAGCTGGAACGGAGGTTGTGGGTATAGCAAGGTATAGTATGTATATATATAAGTTTAATTTGGCATAGTTTGCACTCTACACCGCACTCACTAACCTGGTGGAAATCTTTCCACTCCTTCTTGACGCCATGTCTGTTGTGTAGGACTCTTCTTAGAGTGTAAATAATTACCGGACTATGACTGGTCAAATATGTTGAATATCGGCAAAACTAAATCTCTCCTGTCAAAATGTCTTTGTACTTTGCCGCCACACACGGTTGCCAAGCAACGCTTATTGTTGTTTAGGCTGGCCACTCATGTGTCGCGAGTGTTGACAGGGGGCGGGGGAGCACGCTCATGAACTGTTAGCGCCCGAACCTCCCAACGGCTGCGGAGCGCATTTGGGCATAAGATGAGGTTTGAGTCTGAGTGATCTGCGTGTAGGCAGGGGCAGCAGCCATATCATTAGAACTAGATCTGATGGGTTTGGACATAAGATGAGGTTTGAGTCTGAGTGATCTGCGTGTAGGCAGGGGCAGCAGCCATATCATTAGAACTAGATCTGATGGGTTTGGGCATAAGATGAGGTTTGAGTCTGAGTGATCTGCGTGTAGGCAGGGGCAGCAGCCATATCATTAGAACTAGATCTGATGGGTTTGGACATAAGATGAGGTTTGAGTCTGAGTGATCTGCGTGTAGGCAGGGGCAGCAGCCATATCATTAGAACTAGATCTGATGGGTTTGGGCATAAGATGAGGTTTGAGTCTGAGTGATCTGCGTGTAGGCAGGGGCAGCAGCCATATCATTAGCTAGAACTAGATCTGATGGATTTGGGCATAAACGCGAGTGAAGTACCGGACGCGAGAGAGAGATCAGCACCTGCAGCTCTGCCTGCTGTGAGGGACCGGTGAGCGGAGCAAAACACACCTTTAGACGTCACCTAACACATTTAGCTATGGCACTGTCGTATACATTGAATTATTCAATTTGATGATATGTAATCAATTTAGGCATCCCTCCCAAAAAAATTTAAAAAATACAAATATTCATAACTCGTATTCGAATACCTGAATAATTTCAAATATTCGATTAATCGTTCCCATCCCTAGTTATCTGGCTTAACTAACCCTAACAAACACTAGTTATCTGGCTTAACTAACCCTAACAAACACTAGTTATCTGGCTTAACTAACCCTAACAAACACTAGTTATCCGGCTTAACTAACCCTAACAAACACTAGTTATCCGGCTTAACTAACGCTAACAAACACTAGTTATCCGGCTTAACTAACCCTAACAAACACTAGTTATCTGGCTTAAGGCGAGACACGGCAGGCAAAAACATCGTTTTTCCTGCACTGGTCAATTTTGAGATTTTGTGCTATTTTGATTCCATAACATGTTTTCTTTCAGGCTTTTGGAAGGAAAACGTACAAAATACACATTTAAGTGTTTATTTTACTAAAGTTTGTCTATTTGCGTCTGTAGATTTCTCCTAAATTCACCAAAAGTTAGCATTCTAACGTAACATAAAGTACCGCGACCGCTGTTTGCACCATGTCTTCAGAGGTATTGTTGGAAAGCTCCGTTTCTCCTGCACAATCTCATCGGATCCAAATATGGTCATTTCCTTTGTATCAGCAACCAATCGTGAAAGTGCAAAGGGGTCTTAAACCAAGAAACGAAATCTCATTGGCTGGTGTCAATATCTGACAACGTGATTCGTTCAGATGCGTCACGTGGTGTGCTAAAGCACTTCCTGGTTAGCTTTCCGCTCGAAATTTAAATCTGAAAATGGCAAAATAACGGCGAAAAAAACGTTCACAGAGAAGACGACAACAATTGTCACTTGCACAAAGCAAGGTTATACAAAAAACAAATGACCCCGAACATGAAATACCTTCACGGAGTGCGTCGATGCGCAAGCTATCATCCAGATAACAGGAGGGTTTAGCTAGCGTCACACTGCAATCTTTAAAGGTTGTTTTCTCAAAATGAGTTTTTTCTCCTACTCTGAGTTCGAAATTTCCACTTCAGTAGCAGTTACATACACCAAACCTTCCAGTTATATTCCTATCAATATTATGAAGGCTTTTACAGAAGGGTTTGTTCATATATCCTTTATAGCCTGAATTATATAACATTTTATACCTAAAAACATGGTGAAAATTGATATTTTAGGGCTGTTGACAGTATTTTCTGATTTATGGAGTGATACAAAGAGATATCCAAAATCCCTTCTGTAAAAGCCTTAGATACTAATATGACTACAAAATGAAACAATAATTTTGATCCTGGCTTTATCCAAAGTTCAGATTTCGGTTCCTGAAATGTGTTCAAATATGCGCATATTTCATGAGATAATAGATCATTTGCATATTTAAACATGCTATTTCAGAAAACTTGTAATACAAAAAACAATTGCCTTATTGTAAGTAATTAACTGGAGAAATTTCTAGCTGATATCTTTAAGTTAAAGAAATTACCCTATTCACCTGGGGTGTCTCGCCTTAACTAACCCTAACAAACACTAGTTATCTGGCTTAACTAACCCTAACAAACACTAGTTACCTGGCTTAACTAACCCTAACAAACACTAGTTATCCGGCTTAACTAACCCTAACAAACACTAGTTATCCGGCTTAACTAACCCTAACAAACACTAGTTATCCGGCTTAACTAACCCTAACAAACACTAGTTATCCGGCTTAACTAACCCTAACAAACACTAGTTATCCGGCTTAACTAACCCTAACAAACACTAGTTATCCGGCTTAACTAACCCTAACAAACACTAGTTATCCGGCTTAACTAACCCTAACAAACACTAGTTATCCGGCTTAACTAACCCTAACAAACACTAGTTACCTGGCTTAACTAACCCTAACAAACACTAGTTATCCGGCTTAACTAACCCTAACAAACACTAGTTACCTGGCTTAACTACCCTAACAAACACTAGTTACCTGGCTTAACTAACCCTAACAACTAGTTACCTGGCTTAACTAACCCTAACAAACACTAGTTATCCGGCTTAACTAACCCTAACAAACACTAGTTATCCGGCTTAACTAACCCTAACAAACACTAGTTATCCGGCTTAACTAACCCTAACAAACACTAGTTATCCGGCTTAACTAACCCTAACAAACACTAGTTATCCGGCTTAACTAACCCTAACAAACACTAGTTATCCGGCTTAACTAACCCTAACAAACACTAGTTATCCGGCTTAACTAACCCTAACAAACACTAGTTATCCGGCTTAACTAACCCTAACAAACACTAGTTATCCGGCTTAACTAACCCTAACAAACACTAGTTACCCGGCTTAACTAACCCTAACAAACACTAGTTATCCGGCTTAACTAACCCTAACAAACACTAGTTATCCGGCTTAACTAACCCTAACAAACACTAGTTATCCGGCTTAACTAACCCTAACAAACACTAGTTATCCGGCTTAACTAACCCTAACAAACACTAGTTATCCGGCTTAACTAACCCTAACAAACACTAGTTATCCGGCTTAACTAACCCTAACAAACACTAGTTATCCGGCTTAACTAACCCTAACAAACACTAGTTATCCGGCTTAACTAACCCTAACAAACACTAGTTACCTGGCTTAACTAACCCTAACAAACACTAGTTATCCGGCTTAACTAACCCTAACAAACACTAGTTATCCGGCTTAACTAACACTAACAAACACTAGTTATCCGGCTTAACTAACCCTAACAAACACTAGTTATCCGGCTTAACTAATCCTAACAAACACTAGTTACCCGGCTTAACTAACCCTAACAAACACTAGTTATCCGGCTTAACTAATCCTAACAAACACTAGTTACCTGGCTTAACTAACCCTAACAAACACTAGTTATCCGGCTTAACTAATCCTAACAAACACTAGTTACCTGGCTTAACTAACCCTAACAAACACTAGTTATCCGGCTTAACTAACCCTAACAAAGACTAGTTACCTGGCTTAACTAACCCTAACATCATGCCTCTACATCAGGTACAGCAAATGTTTTGTCCCTATGTCCACCTAATATCAATTCAAACACCATGACACAATTCCATCAGATTAATGGTAAAAACTTAGAGGACATTATTCAACTTCTGAAATCCTCCTCCTGCTGCCTTGATATTATTCCAACAGGATTTTTCAAAGATGTTTTTCCTTGCATGGCCTCAGATCTACTTCATATAGTAAACACATCTCTTCACTCAGGTATTTTTCCAGAGGCCCTGAAAACTGCAGTCATTAAACCGCTCTTAAAAAAGAATAATCTAGATGCCTCAGTAATGAACAATTACAGGCCAATATCAAACCTGCCATTTCTAGGTAAAATCATTGAAAAAGTAGTATTTCAACAGTTGAGTAACTTCTTGCATTTAAATAACTGTTTGGATGTGTTCCAGTCAGGATTTCGTCCAAACCACAGCACTGAGACTGCTCTTGTAAAGGTCTTCAATGACATCCACTTAAACACAGACAGTGGCAGAACTTCAGTGTTAGTATTATTAGATCTCAGTGCTGCATTTGACACTGTTGACCACAACATATTACTAGACCGACTAAAAAACTGGGTGGGACTTTCGGCAACAGTTCTAAATTGGTTTGAGTCCTACTTAAAGGACAGAAAAAACTTTATTTCTATAGGTAAATACACATCTGAGTTGACAAATATGACATGTGGGGTACCTCAAGGCTCCATCTTGGGGCCTCTTCTCTTTAACATCTACATGCTACCACTGGCTCAGATAATGAAAAACAACAAAATAAGTTACCATAGCTATGCGGATGACACACAAATTTACGTAACAATTTCACCAGGAGATTATGCTCCAATTCAAACACTGAGTAAGTGCATTGAACAAATCAATGACTGGATGTGTCAGAACTTTCTCCAATTAAACAAAGATAAAACTGAGGTAATGGTTTTTGGAGCCAAGGCAGAACGTATAAAAGTTAGCGCTGAGCTTCAGTCTGCAATGTTCAAAACAACAGATAAAGCCAGAAATCTAGGTGTAGTCATGGACTCTGACCTGAGTTTCAACAGTCACATTAAAACAGTTACTAAATCAGCCTACTATCACCTAAAGAACATATCTAGGATTAAAGGACTAATGTCACAGCAGGATTTGGAAAAACTTGTCCATGCTTTTATCTTCAGTAGACTCGACTACTGCAATGGTGTCTTTACAGGCCTCACTAAAAAATCTATTAGAAAGCTGCAGCTAATTCAGAACGCCGCTGCTCGAGTCCTCACTAACACTAAGAAAGTGGATCACATCACTCCTGTTCTGAAGTCCTTACACTGGCTTCCTGTGTGTCAAAGAATAGATTTCAAAATATTGTTGCTGGTTTATAAAGCTTTGAATGGTTTAGGCCCAAAATACATGTCTGACCTACTGCTAAATTATGAACCATCCAGAACCCTCAGGTCTTCAGGGACTGGTCAGCTTTCTGTCCCCAGAGTCAGAACTAAACATGGTAAAGCAGCATTCAGTTATTATGCTCCGAATATCTGGAACAAACTCCCAGAAACCTGCAGGTCCGCTGCAACTCTTACTACTTTTAAATCCAGGCTGAAGACTTTTCTTTTTGCCGCTGCTTTTAATTGAACTATTCACATCTTAAACTGCACTGTAACTTTTAACTTTTATCCATGTATTTTTTCTTTTAATGTTTATTTTATTATCTTTCCTTTTTAATGACTGATTTTAAATGCCATTTTTAAAATGTCTTCCATTTTTGTAAAGCACTTTGAATTACCTTGTGTTGAAAGGTGCTATATAAATAAACTTGCCTTGCCTTGCCTTGCCTAACAAACACTAGTTATCCGGCTTAACTAATCCTAACAAACACTAGTTACCTGGCTTAACTAACCCTAACAAACACTAGTTATCCGGCTTAACTAATCCTAACAAACACTAGTTACCTGGCTTAACTAACCCTAACAAACACTAGTTATCCGGCTTAACTAACCCTAACAAACACTAGTTATCCGGCTTAACTAATCCTAACAAACACTAGTTACCTGGCTTAACTAACCCTAACAAACACTAGTTATCCGGCTTAACTAATCCTAACAAACACTAGTTACCTGGCTTAACTAACCCTAACAAACACTAGTTATCCGGCTTAACTAACCCTAACAAACACTAGTTACCTGGCTTAACTAACCCTAACAAACACTAGTTACCTGGCTTAACTAACCCTAACAAACACTAGTTATCCGGCTTAACTAACCCTAACAAACACTAGTTACCTGGCTTAACTAATCCTAACAAACACTAGTTACCTGGCTTAACTAATCCTAACAAACACTAGTTACCTCCTCGTATTTCTCTCTCAGCTTCTGGGCCTTCTCCTCGTAGGGCAGCTTGTCAGATTGGGTCCGTTTGCTCCACATCTCTCTCTCTCTTTCTCTCTCTCTACCTGTCTCTCTCTCTCTCTACCTGTCTTTCTCTCTCTCTCTCTCTACCTGTCTGTGTCTCTACAGTTTTCTCACCCGGTCGTATTTCTCTCTCAGCTTCTGGGCCTTCTCCTCGTAGGGCAGCTTGTCAGATTGGGTCTGTTTGCCCCACAGCTCTCCAAGCTTCTTGGCACAGTCGCCTATAGACAGACCTGGAAACTGCTGCTTCACAGAGGGCCGGTACTCACCGCAGAACACAAAGAACGCAGAGCTGGGGAGAGAGAGGGAACAGTTTTAAATCAAGCAGCGTTTAGTCAATCAGTCAATGTTTACAGCCCAATATCACAAAAGAGACCCCCCAGGTAATGGAAGAAACCCCCCAGTCAATGGAAGAAACCCCCCAGGTAATGGAAGAAACCCCCCAGTTAATGGGAGAAACCCCCCAGTCAATGGGAGAAACCCCCCAGTTAATGGGAGAAACCCCCCAGTCAATGGGAGAAACCCCCCAGTTAATGGGAGAAACCCCCCAGGTAATGGGAGAAACCCCCCAGTCAATGGAAGAAACCCCCCAGTTAATGGGAGAAACCCCCCAGTCAATGGGAGAAACCCCCCAGGTAATGGGAGAAACCCCCCAGTCAATGGGAGAAACCCCCCAGTTAATGGGAGAAACCCCCCAGGTAATGGAAGAAACCCCCCAGGTAATGTAATGGGAGAAACCCCCCAGGTAATGGGAGAAAATGGGGAAATGTTAGAATCCTCTGAGAGCAACAGAGGAGGATCCCTCTCTCAGGACGGACAGACTGCAATAGATGCCGTGTGTAAATTGAAAAGTGAATACATTTACAACATAGGTAAAACAAAGTCAAACCCCATGAGGTATCTATCGTCCTTACGGGGGTCTCTGGTTACAGTGAGAGGACTTACGGGGGTCTCTGGTTACAGTGAGAGGACTTACGGGGGTCTCTGGTTACAGTGAGAGGACTTACGGGGCTCCTTACGGGGGTCTCTGGTTACAGTGAGAGGACTTACGGGGGTCTCTGGTTACAGTGAGAGGACTTACGGGGGTCTCTGGTTACAGTGAGAGGACTTATGGGGCTCCTTACGGGGGTCTCTGATTACAGTGAGAGGACTTACGGGGCTCTCTGGTTAGAGTGAGAGGACTTGCGGGGGTCTCTGGTTAGAGTGAGAGGACTTGCGGGGGTCTCTGGTTACAGTGAGAGGACTTACGGGGCTCTCTGGTTAGAGTGAGAGGACTTGCGGGGGTCTCTGGTTACAGTGAGAGGACTTACGGGGACTTATGGCGCATTTCCACTACAGCGCGGAGCTCGCTTCAAGTATGGGTTGCGTTTCCACTTGGCGTAGTTCCGGCTAGCGGGTACTATTTCACAGTTTTTCTGGCCCCATAAATTCGAGGTTCTTTCCGGGCCAACAACCGGGCTGAGTCGGGCTGAGTATGCTAAACTAGAGAGAGAATCGCTGACAAGGGGGCTACAACTACAACAAGATGGACATATCTGACCGTGATTTAATTGTAATACACGTTTCAAAATGATGCCGAAGTAACAACATACTGATACCGGTTAGTAAAAACCATGAATTAATGCTTTGACAAGTCTGCAGACAGACGGCAGGAATGGAGATGGCTATCCATGCCTTTATTTCATCCCGGCTTGATTACTGAAATGCTCTGTTCTCCTGCCTCAACAAAACATCAATAAACCGGTTACACAAGGTCCAAAATGCTGCAACCAGATTGCTACCTCAGATCTCTGTGCCCCGCTGTCCTCGACCACTTTGAGCCTGTATCCCTCTCTGTGCCCTGCTGTCCTCGACCACTTTGAGCCTGTATCCCTCTCTGAGCCCTGCTGTCCTCGACCACTTTGAGCCTGTATCCCTCTCTGAGCCCTGCTGTCCTCGACCACTTTGAGCCTGTATCCCTCTCTGAGCCCCGCTGTCCTCGACCACTTTGAGCCTGTATCCCTCTCTGAGCCCCGCTGTCCTCGACCACTTTGAGCCTGTATCCCTCTCTGTGCCCTGCTGTCCTCGACCACTTTGAGCCTGGATCCCTCTCTGTGCCCCGCTGTCCTCGACCACTTTGAGCCTGTATCCCTCTCTGTGCCCCGCTGTCCTCGACCACTTTGAGCCTGTATCCCTCTCTGTGCCCTGCTGTCCTCGATCACTTTGAGCCTGTATCCCTCTCTGAGCCCCGCTGTCCTCGACCACTTTTGACCCTGTATCCCTCTCTGTGCCCTGCTGTCCTCGACCACTTTGAGCCTGTATCCCTCTCTGTGCCCCGCTGTCCTCGACCACTTTGAGCCTGTATCCCTCTCTGTGCCCCGCTGTCCTCGACCACTTTGAGCCTGTATCCCTCTCTGAGCCCCGCTGTCCTCGACCACTTTTGACCCTATATCCCTCTCTGTGCCCCGCTGTCCTCGACCACTTTGAGCCTGTATCCCTCTCTGTGCCCTGCTGTCCTCGACCACTTTGAGCCTGTACCCCTCTCTGTGCCCCGCTGTCCTCGACCACTTTGAGCCTGTATCCCTCTCTGTGCCCTGCTGTCCTCGACCACTTTGAGCCTGTATCCCTCTCTGTGCCCCGCTGTCCTCGACCACTTTGAGCCTGTATCCCTCTCTGTGCCCCGCTGTCCTCGACCACTTTGAGCCTGTATCCCTCTCTGTGCCCCGCTGTCCTTGACCACTTTGAGCCTGTATCCCTCTCTGTGCCCTGCTGTCCTCGACCACATTGAGCCTGTATCCCTCTCTGTGCCCTGCTGTCCTCGACCACTTTGAGCCTGTATCCCTCTCTGTGCCCCGCTGTCCTCGACCACTTTGAGCCTGTATCCCTCTCTGTGCCCCGCTGTCCTCGACCACTTTGAGCCTGTATCCCTCTCTGTGCCCCGCTGTCCTCGACCACTTTGAGCCTGTATCCCTCTCTGTGTCCTGCTGTCCTCGACCACTTTGAGCCTGTACCCCTCTCTGTGCCCCGCTGTCCTCGACCACTCTGAGCCTGTATCCCTCTCTGTGCCCTGCTGTCCTCGACCACATTGAGCCTGTATCCCTCTCTGTGCCCTGCTGTCCTCCACCACTTTGAGCCTGTATCCCTCTCTGTGCCCTGCTGTCCTCGACCACTTTGAGCCTGTATCCCTCTCTGTGCCCTGCTGTCCTCTACCACTCTGAGCCTGTATCCCTCTCTGTGCCCTGCTGTCCTCTACCACTCTGAGCCTGTATCCCTCTCTGTGCCCTGCTGTCCTCGACCACTTTGAGCCTGTATCCCTCTCTGTGCCCTGCTGTCCTCCACCACTTTGAGCCTGTATCCCTCTCTGTGCCCTGCTGTCCTCGACCACTTTGAGCCTGTATCCCTCTCTGTGCCCTGCTGTCCTCGACCACTTTGAGCCTGTATCCCTCTCTTCTCTCTCGGATGTAGTCAAGCACCTGCGGCCGACAAACTGCACCTCAGACAGCATTCCCTCTCGCCTTCTCAGAGATGTTTTTGATTCAGTTGGAGCAAGTGTTTTATTACTTATAAACACCTCTCTTAGCTCAGGATGTGTCCCAGCTGCCTTCAAACATGCCGTGGTTAAGCCACTCCTTAAAAAGAAAAATCTCGACCCCTCCATTCTCGCAAATTTTAGGCCCATCTCCAAGCTACCTTTTTTATCAAAAGCCCTGGAGCGAGTAGTCCACGCCCAGCTGCAGTCTTTTTTAACCACGCATGGAATCCATGAAAAGTTCCAGTCTGGCTTCAAACCCATGCACAGCACTGAAACAGCTCTTTGAAGAGTTTTTAATGATCTGCTCCTAGCCGCCGACTCAGGTAGCCCAGCTGTCTTGGTGCTGTTAGACCTGACAGCTGCCTTTGACACTGTGGACCATAGCATCCTGCTGTCACGGCTTGAACAGTCCGCTGGCATCACAGGCTCTGCCCTTGCATGGTTCAGGTCCTACCTGACAGACCGTAGCTTCTCAGTGCAGCTAGGTGCCTTCTCCTCTGCCAAAGCCCCTCTTACCTGTGGGGTTCCCCAAGGCTCTATTCTGGGCCCCATCCTTTTTCTACTGTACATACTGCCCCTAGGTTCAATTCTCACAAAACACAACATCCCCTTCCACTGCTACGCCGACGATGTACAGATATATCTGCCTCTCAAAGCAAATGTCAAACACTCACTACAGCAGCTGATGGACTGCTTAGCAGAGATCAAATCCTGGCTGAGCAAAAACTTCCTCAACCTCAACGAGAGCAAGACTGAGGTCATCTTTTTTGGACCGCAACCTCCAGCCTCTCCGGTTGATATTCTGGGGTCTCTCAAAAAAAACATCCTCCCCTCGGTCATGAACCTTGGAGTGACCTTCACCAGCACTTTTAAATTCGACAAGCAGGTCAGCACCGTAGTCAAATCGTGCTTTTTTAAAATAAGACTATTGGCCAAAACCAAGTCGTATTTATCTTTTAAAGACTTAGAAAGGGTTATCAACGCCTTTGTAACCTCGAGACTGGACTATTGTAACGCTCTGTACGTGGGTATGGACCAGGCCTCAATTAAACGCCTGCAGCTAGTCCAAAACGCGGCTGCACGTTTGCTGACTGGCCACAAAAAGCGTAACCACATCAACCCAATTCTGGCCTCACTACACTGGCTTCCAGTTCGGTTCAGAATTGATTTTAAAATCCTTTTATTTGTTTTTAAAGCACTAAATGGGCTGGCTCCGGCCTATATAGCTGAACTCCTCCAGCGCTACACCCCAGCCAGAGCTTTAAGGTCTGCTGACCAGCTGCTGCTGGTAGTGCCCAAGACCAGGCTCAAAACCCGAGGGCACCGAGCCTTCTCAGCAGCTGGCCCTAGGCTCTGGAACACTCTGCCCCTCCATGTGAGGTCGGCCCAGACCCTAGGGGGTTTTAAATCTACTCTAATGTTACATTTCCACCACACGGTCGGCCTCGGCCACGCTTGGTACTGCTTGGCTGCGTTGGGCCTTGTTAGGGCCGACTCACTTCATGCTGCGCTTCCATTACAGTTTAGGAACTGGGGCAGTATATATAGTAACGCAGTGTAGGCGGAGCCGTGACGTCATCTTCAATGAGAACCCCAGAAACACAACACAGCCGTTAGCTGTTAGCACTCAGAGCTCACAGCTCCTCATATCTGTTCAGAAACTCGACAAAAGTTAAACAAGTACAAACCACAGACTGCCTGTGTCATGGTGAATACAGTCGCTGCTTTATTTATGTCTGTATAGGCCGTTGTTGTGAGTGTGGACGGTCGGAGCATATACTGCGTTAGCTTAGCCAATCTCCATTTAGAAAACACGCATTTTAAATGGTGTTTCTCCTGCCGTCTGTCTGCAGACTTGTCAAAGCATTAATTCATGGTTTTTACTAACCGGTATCAGTATGTTGTTACTTCGGCATCATTTAGAAACGTGTATTACAATTAAATCACGGTCAAATATGTCCATCTTGTTGTAGTTGTAGCCCCCTTGCCAGCGCTCCTCTCTCTAGTTTAGCATACTCAGCCCGACTCAGCCCTGTTTGTTGGCCCCGATAGAACCACAATTTTCTCGGGCCAGAAAAGACGTGAAAAAGTGGCCCCGGGCCGGAACTAGGCCAAGTGGAAGCGCAACCAAAAACGGGAACGGCACGCTTAAAGCGAGCTCCGCGCTGTAGTGGAACTGCGCCATAAAAACACACTTCTTCTCTCTGGCCTTCTAGTCAGAGCGGAGCACGACTCCTGACTTTTCCCTGTGTTTTTTATATATCTGTTGTAATTTATTGTGATTGTAGTAATGTGTTTTTATTACATGTACAGCACTTTGGCTCGACTAAAAATCACTTTTAAATGTGCTATATAAATGAAACTTGATTTGATTTGATACACTGCGTTACTATAGTTACTGCCCCAGCTACTAAACTGTAACGGAAACGCAGCATAAAGTGAGCCTGCCTAACAAGGCCTAGCCATACCGAGCGAGGCCCTGTAGTGGAAATGCGCCATTACAGTAGGAAGTGTTATAATGATTAAAGAGGACTTACGGGGGTCTCTTGGGGGCGTTGGGGTCTTTCCTCTTGCGGCCCCTCTTCCCAAACCCTTTGGGGGGGGTGTAGTCCACCATCTCACGGTTGTAGCGCACCTTGTCGGTCTTCGCCATGTCCTCGAAACACTTCTTATCATTGGCCGTCAGACCCTGGAACCAAAGCAGACTCTTATTACTTACTATTACTCTTATTGTGAAGGGCTACTCTCTCTTATTGTGAAGGTGTACTCTCTCTTACTGTGAAGGGCTACTCTCTCTTACTGTGAAGGTGTACTCACTGTGAAGGTGTACTCTCTCTTATTGTGAAGGTGTACTCTCTCTTACTGTGAAGGGCTACTCTCTCTTACTGTGAAGGTGTACTCTCTTACTGTGAAGGTGTACTCTCTCTTACTGTGAAGGTGTACTCTCTCTTATTGTGAAGGTGTACTCTCTTACTGTGAAGGGCTACTCTCTCTTACTGTGAAGGTGTACTCTCTTACTGTGAAGGTGTACTCTCTTACTGTGAAGGTGTACTCCCTTACTGTGAAGGTGTACTCTCTCTTATTGTGAAGGTGTACTCTCTTATTGTGAAGGGCTACTCTCTTATTGTGAAGGTGTACTCTCTTACTGTGAAGGTGTACTCTCTTACTGTGAAGGTGTACTCTCTTATTGTGAAGGTGTACTCTCTTATTGTGAAGGGCTACTCTCTTATTGTGAAGGTGTACTCTCTTATTGTGAAGGGCTACTCTCTTATTGAGAAGGTGTACTCTCTTATTGAGAAGGTGTACTCTCTTATTGTGAAGGGCTACACTCTCTACCCGTCTGTCTGAGTGCCTGTCTCACCTTCCACCTCTCAGAGCACAGTCTCTCTACCCGTCTGTCTGAGTGCCTGTCTCACCTTCCACCTCTCAGAGCACAGTCTCTTTCTACCCGTCTGTCTGAGTGCCTGTCTCACCTTCCACCTCTCGGAGCACAGTCTCTCTACCCGTCTGTCTAAGTGCCTGTCTCACCTTCCACCTCTCGTCTACCCGTCTGTCTAAGTGCCCGTCTCACCTTCCACCTCTCGGAGCACTTCTTGGAGAACTCAGCGAAGTTGACGGACTGCTCCGGGTGTTTCTTGCGATGTTCCTCTCGACACGTCTGGACGAAGAAGGCGTAAGCCGACGTCTTGCCCTTCGGCTTGTTCACATCTTTGCGCATCATACTGGCGGCCTGGCAGACATACAGGAGGAGAGACAGGTACAGAGGTTAGGGTCTGACTGGTTATTGATTTGATATTTGATTCAGTGACTTATCATAATCATAATTGGGAGGGACGCAACCCTCTTTAATGGTCACACATGCAGAGCACACAGCACACGTGTCCTCTGCTTTGAACCCATCCTAGAGCCAGGAGTCTGGTACCAGGAGCAGCTATTGCACAGCGCCCGGGGAGCAATGGGAGTGGGGGGTGGCTGGTGCCTTGCTCAAGGGCACCACGGCAGGGCAGGAGGTGAACTGGGACCTCTCCAAGTAGCAGTCCACGCTCCATTCTTTAGGTCTGTTCGGGGACTTGAACCGGCGACCCTACGGCTCCCAGCCCCTACTGACTGAGACCCTGCATATAGAATAAGGAATCATTCATTATCCCAGCCATGTTGAAGCTGCTCCTGAAGGTTCATTTTAATGTAAACAGAAAACCCTGTGAAATATAATATTTATAAAAATGTGATGAACCCATAAAGAAGATACTGTCTGATAGCAGTGGCCGGTAATCAATCAATCAGAGGGTGAATAAAACACGTTTCATATTAATGATTAAACTTCTTTATTAACTCTGAACAGCAGAGCTTTGTATACAGCTATGTAAATGTAAGCGGTTTGCTGGGCTGTCAGACATGATATTAAAATACAGGTTCACCCACGGACAGATGCCACAGGATTAATAACCCCGTTCAGTTAAAGCATTCTTTATGAGTGGGTTAAAATGCCCAGAAAGTGTGATTCCTGGGGGGTTGACCCTTTAACCTGTGAGTCTGCTTTGTTCCTTTACTCTGATTTTAACCAGGTTTCCGGTGGTAATGTAGTATGTGTACCCCCACAGGGACACGCAGCTCCTCCGGCCGACCCTGCTCCGGTAGAAGCCCCGGAGGTCCCCGGTAACCGGAGCCTCCCGGCCGTGCGACGGACACACAAAGAGAACAAAGAGGGTCCCTTTCTCCCGGGGATCAGAGGTCCAGCGAGCCGAGCAGAGGCTCCGGAACCCGGGTCTGAGAGGAGAGTAGGGTCCCGGTGCTACTCTGCCCGGAGAGAGGAGAGGAGACTCTCCCCGCTAACAGAGGCTCCTCTCGGGGCTGCTGCAGTTAGCTTAGCCGCTAACAGCTAGTCAACAGCTAGCAGCAGAACAATGGACCACCATTTGCTTCCCGCCCTCTGCGGAGCTAGCCGTCCCATCCCCCTCCGCTAGCATCATGCTAACAGCTAACAGCAGTTTAACATCTCACACAGCTGTTTATACAGAGCAGCCGTGCAATGGAAACACAACGGACACAAGCAGGGCTCCGTCTATACTCCGGAGAGTCGTTGTCTGTGAACGGGACCCGGCTATTTACTGGTATTCATGCTCCCTAAATGGGCGTTCCGTGTTTACAACGCTCACACACGCACGCACACACGCATGCACACAAACACAGACAGACAGACCGTTATTCACAGCGGCCATTTTCCCCGTTATTCCCCCGCTTCTCTGTTGTTCCTCTGTCTTTATAGAGACTTTATGAAGGGGGTTACAGGATTGTACTCACTCGGAGGAGCAGCGGGCTGATGCTCTCGGATGCTCTCGGGTTCCCTCGGGTTCTATGGTTCTCAGGTGTTATTGTTGTTGAGCTGAAGCAGCGACTGCAGATCTGCGTCTCTTTCAAACTGGGTCGAGCTCGAGCGCGGACACACCCCCTGGTAACGCCCCCTGGCAACGCCCCCCAGCAACGCCCCCGTTGGTTGTTCCCATTCAGAGGGAGGGAACACGGCTGGCCGACCTGGGCGGAGCTTGGATGAATACTCGCCTGTGATTGGCTCACGGGGCTGCAGGTCAAAGCAGCGTTGCTACACGGCTCCGCCTGCCCAGCAACGCCAGCAGGACGGGGACTGTACACGCGGAGGGGCGGGGACAGTGTACGCTCCTGCGTCTGATTGGACAGCGGTGCTGTACGTCAAAACCAGCAGCCAGTCCGGGAGGAGGTGGAGGAGGGGCGGGGCCAGTGTACGTTCCTGCGTCTGAATGGACAGAGGTGCTGTACGTCAAAACAAGCAACCAGTCCGGGAGGAGGGGCGGGGCCAGTGTACGCTCCTGCGTCTGAATGGACAGAGGTGCTGTACGTCAGAACCAGCAGCCAGTCAGGGCGAGGTGGAGGAGGGGCGGCGCACAGCAGCAGCACCAAGATGGAGATTGTATAATAACACATTTTGTGGTTGTGATTTATTAAGCTGCTTTATGATTCACGGTGACAGACAGGGATATTAATACATATTATATTTCTGTTTCAGAACCACAAGCAGTGTGTGTCCGTGCAGCTTTGTTTGTGCTGCTTCACAAAGACATCTGTGTCAACACATATCTGCATATTAATGGAGGATGTGCAGTGAGACATGTCTCCAGCACACAGGAGACATGTCTCACTAACACAGAGACAGAGGGTTAAAACCACTGATCAGGAGCTGTCTCACTAACACAGAGACATGTCTCACTAACACAGAGACATGTCTCACTAACACAGAGACATGTCTCACTAACACAGAGACAGAGGGTTAAAACCACTGATCAGGAGCTGTCTCACTAACACAGAGACATGTCTCACTAACACAGAGACATGTCTCACTAACACAGAGACATGTGTCACTAACACAGAGACATGTCTCACTGACACAGAGACATGTCTCACTAACACAGAGACATGTCTCACTAACACAGAGACATGTCTCACTAACACAGAGACAGAGGGTTAAAACCACTGATCAGGAGCTGTCTCACTAACACAGAGACATGTCTCACTAACACAGAGACATGTCTCACTAACACAGAGACATGTGTCACTAACACAGAGACATGTGTCACTAACACAGAGACATGTCTCACTGACACAGAGACATGTCTCACTAACACAGAGACATGTCTCACTAACACAGAGACATGTGTCACTAACACAGAGACATGTCTCACTGACACAGAGACATGTCTCACTAACACAGAGACATGTCTCACTAACACAGAGACATGTCTCACTGACACAGAGACATGTCTCACTGACACAGAGACATGTCTCACTAACACAGAGACATGTCTCACTAACACAGAGACATGTCTCACTAACACAGAAATAAATAGATGGTCTGCCCTTCATAATACATTTTCTTTTTTTTAATAATAATAATAACAATAACAATGGGACCTGCAAATGAAGAAAAGACATGTACCAATGCAGGACCAGAGTACATGGACTTATTCACATTCTGCTTCAAATAGTCCCATTTTTCTTAATTTATACCATTTCTTTAACTGAAAAATACAATTCTTGAGATCCTTCTGTTGAGAATTCCACCATTTTACACCAACCACCGAAATACACATTTGCTTTAGAGTAGTCCTTGCATAAGGATGCTTAAATGTAATGTCCTTCTGTGGTCTTCCTTGTCTGATCCAAAAACAAACAGCTGTTGTAAATACCCTGGTAACATTCTGCTTGTTGCCCTGAGCATTACTGATGATGTCTGCAGCTATCTCTTTGAGTTTCAAGAGTCCTGACTTTAAAACAGTCTGTTCTCTTGAATCAGCTTTATGAATTATTCTTACTGCTCTTTTCTGTAATATATATATATGGCTTTATGTTGCTCATATACGTGTTGCCCCACACTTCTATAGAGTAAATAAAACATGGCAAAATGAGTGAACACAGCATCCTCAATGCCTTGTAATCTAGCAAATACTTTGCCTTGTTGAGAACAGAAGTATCCAATACACTTTGGTTTAAACATGTGCTATGTGTGATTTCCACGTCAGGTGATCATCCAGCGTCACACCTAAACATCGACATTCAGAAACCCTTTCAATAAAAACTCCATCAATGGACAGTGAAATGTTTTCATCTTTTTTCTATTGGCAAAAACCATAAACTTAGTTTTATTCAAATTTAGGGTTAACTTATTTTCATCAAATCATCTTTTAAGTTTGACCATTTCATGTCCAATACACTTTGCTAAAATGTTTAAATCGTCTCCTGAACAAAATAGATTGGTGTCGTCTGCAAACAACACACATTGCAATAATGTTGACGTTTCATATTTCATTGATGTACAAAATAAAAGGTGTAGGCCCTAAACCCGAGCCCTGTGGGACACCACATTCTGTGTTCATACACTCCGATGTGCTACCAGCTAATTCTACATATTGTTGTCTGTTATCTAAATAACTTTTAACCAATCTAGAACTACTCCTCTCACACCGTATCTATGTCATTTAGAAATGAATAGGTAATGGTCTCTGGTGTCAATAAATACACCTATTGTGTATTTCTTTCTTTCTGCTGCTGTGATTTCTTCTGTTATTTTCATTAAAGCTAAAGCTGTAGATCGATCTTTCCTAAATCCATACTGACTCAATAACTCATTTCTTTCAATAAAAACAGAAGGAGGGTTTCTCTCCAGAAGGAGTGTTTTGTCTCCAGAAGGAGTGTTTTGTCTCCAGAAGGAGGGTTTTGTCTCCAGAAGGAGTGTTTTGTCTCCAGAAGGAGGGTTTTGTCTCCAGAAGGAGTGTTTTGTCTCCAGAAGGAGTGTTTTGTCTCCAGAAGGAGTGTTTTGTCTCCAGAAGGAGTGTTTTGTCTCCAGAAGGAGTGTTTTGTCTCCAGAAGGAGGGTTTTGTCTCCAGAAGGAGTGTTTTGTCTCCAGAAGGAGGGTTTCTCTCCAGAAGGAGGGTTTCTCTCCAGAAGGAGTGTTTTAGTACTCGGAGTATCACCGCAGACTCTTTGTGTATTTAGCTTCGCGCTCTGAGCCTCGCAGGACTCCGTAGCGGACCCAGAAGTGAGCTGAGCGGGATCGGTTTGTTTACATCAGAGCGGCACGTTGTGGTGTTGTTGTTGTTTGTTTGTTGATGATTCGGTAATAAGAGCGGTAGGATCCGATGGAGTCCCTGCAGCTGTTCCTGGATCAGTTCCAGCCCTCCGGAGAGGCCGTGAGTCGCTTTATCACTTTCTAATATCACTACATCACTGTACTTTGCTCTATATCACTATATCACTTCATATTACTCATATAACGTATTATACATTATTATATAAGTACTCAGATCTTGAGTAAAAGTAGAAGTACTCAGATCTTGAGTAAAAGTAGAAGTACTCAGATCTTGAGTAAAAGTAGAAGTACTCAGATCTTGTAGTAAAAGTAGAAGTACTCAGATCTTGAGTAAAAGTAGAAGTACTCAGATATTGTACTTGAGTAAAAGTAGAAGTACTCAGATCTTGTAGTAAAAGTAGAAGTACTTAGATCTTGAGTAAAAGTAGAAGTACTCAGATCTTGTACTTGAGTAAAAGTAGAAGTACTCAGATCTTGAGTAAAAGTAGAAGTACTCAGATCTTGTAGTAAAAGTAGAAGTACTCAGATCTTGTAGTAAAAGTAGAAGTACTCAGATATTGTACTTGAGTAAAAGTAGAAGTACTCAGATCTTGTAGTAAAAGTAGAAGTACTCAGATCTTGTACTTGAGTTTGAGTAAAAGTAGAAGTACTCAGATCTTGTAGTAAAAGTAGAAGTACTCAGGTCTTGTAGTAAAAGTAGAAGTACTCAGGTCTTGTAGTAAAAGTAGAAGTACTCAGGTCTGGTACACAGTAGTATAATAATACTAATAACATCAAGCTCTCTGCAGGAGTCTCTGTGGCTGCAGCAGATGTTCAGCTTCGTCTCAGATCACCTCTCTGGCCCCGCCCCTCCTGCTGATGACACCTCACTGACAGGTCAGGCAGCCAATCAGCTGAGCCCGTGAATACATGTGGAAACAACAAGGAGAGCTGTGTGTGTGTGTGTGTGTGTGTTGTGTTGCAGGTGTGTACCAGCTGAGTGTGTGTGTTGTGTTGCAGGTGTGTACCAGCTGAGTGTGTGTGTTGTGTTGCAGGTGTGTACCAGCTGTGTGTGTGTTGTGGGGGGGGGGGGGTGGCATTGGGATATATATTATTTACATCCACTGGAGCAGAGAGAGGAGCTGTGGATTATTGTTATTGATTAATGCATCAGTGTTTCTTACCCCTAAGATTCCACCGGGTCCGTCTGCGGCGCGTTACGGCTGCGTTACGGCTGCGTTACGGCTGCGTTACGGCTGCGCCGTGGTGCTCACGGCGATCGCGGCCACTCTAGTCAATGGGTGCTATTCCACCACATGCGGCGCGTTACGGCTCAGAAGCGTCCCAGAAGCGTCCCAGAAGCGTCCCAGAAGCGTCCCAGAAGTGTCACAGAAGCGTCCCAGAAGCGTCCCAGAAGCATCCCAGAAGCATCCCAGAAGCATCCCAGAAGCATCCCAGAAGTGTCACAGAAGCGTCCCAGAAGCGTCACAGAAGCGTCCCAGAAGCATCCCAGAAGCATCCCAGAAGCATCCCAGAAGCATCCCAGAAGCGTCCCAGAAGCGTCCCAGAAGCGTCCCAGAAGCGTCCCAGAAGCGTCCCAGAAGCATCCCAGAAGTGTCACAGAAGCGTCCCAGAAGCGTCACAGAAGCGTCCCAGAAGCATCCCAGAAGCATCCCAGAAGCATCCCAGAAGCGTCCCAGAAGCGTCCCAGAAGCGTCCCAGAAGCGTCCCAGAAGGATGAATCCTATTTTTGACGCGACGCAGCCGTAACGTAATGTCAGGCAGGCAGGAAGTGGAACGTTCAGAGCATATATATATATACACACACACAAACTAATTTTGCAGACCCTATCCCTCCGTAGTCTTTCAAGTAGGAGGAGAAAGGCCAGCGTTCTCCTCCGAGGCACTGTGTAAATTATATATATAGAATAATTATGATGATGAATGCATTCCCACTAAAATACAGCAACACATCTTTGAGTCATGTCGTTTATAACTGGAATATTACAGTTATTATTAACTCTGTCTGTACAAAGTAGCCTGTCCAGGAAACATGCCCAAATCAACTCAAACTGCGAGCCGGCAGGTAAGATGCTCCGCTTCTGAAATGCTTCTGAAACGCGCCTGGTAGGGTATGACGCCGGAGGAGGCCGGAACAAAACCGCGGCGCAGCCGTAACGCGGCGCAGACGGACCCGGTGGAATCTAGGGGTCAGAGCTGAAAACACTAAACTCACAACTTAAAATGAAAGCGTTTAGTTTTTTTAATAAACTAGGAGTCCCAGTTCACCTCCTGCCCTGCCGTGGTGCCCTTGAGCAAGGCACCGGACAACCCCCTTCCCCCCCCCACTCCCATTGCTCCCCGGGCGCTGTACAATAGCTGCTCACTGCTCCTGGTACTAGACTCCTGGTACTAGACTCCTGGTCCTAGACTCCTGGTGCTAGACTCCTGGTTCTAGACTCCTGGTTCTAGACTCCTGGTGCTAGACTCCTGGTTCTAGACTCCTAGTTCTAGACTCCTGGTTCTAGACTCCTAGTTCTAGACTCCTGGTTCTAGACTCCTGGTTCTAGACTCCTGGTACTAGACTCCTGGTTCTAGACTCCTGGTTCTAGACTCCTGGTGCTAGACTCCTGGTTCTAGACTCCTGGTTCTAGACTCCTGGTGCTAGACTCCTGGTTCTAGACTCCTAGTTCTAGACTCCTGGTTCTAGACTCCTAGTTCTAGACTCCTGGTTCTAGACTCCTGGTTCTAGACTCCTGGTACTAGACTCCTGGTTCTAGACTCCTGGTTCTAGACTCCTGGTGCTAGACTCCTGGTTCTAGACTCCTAGTTCTAGAATCCTGGTTCTAGACTCCTGGTTCTAGACTCCTGGTACTAGACTCCTGGTTCTAGACTCCTGGTTCTAGACTCCTGGTTCTAGACTCCTGGTTCTAGACTCCTGGTACTAGACTCCTGGTACTAGACTCCTGGTTCTAGACTCCTGGTTCTAGACTCCTGGTGCTAGACTCCTGGTTCTAGACTCCTGGTTCTAGACTCCTGGTACTAGACTCCTGGTTCTAGACTCCTGGTTCTAGACTCCTGGTTCTAGACTCCTGGTTCTAGACTCCTGGTGCTAGACTCCTGGTTCTAGACTCCTAGTTCTAGACTCCTGGTTCTAGACTCCTGGTTCTAGACTCCTGGTACTAGACTCCTGGTTCTAGACTCCTGGTTCTAGACTCCTGGTGCTAGACTCCTGGTTCTAGACTCCTAGTTCTAGAATCCTGGTGCTAGACTCCTGGTTCTAGACTCCTGGTACTCCTAGTACTAGACTCCTGGTGCTAGACTCCTGGTGCTAGACTCCTGGTGCTAGACTCCTGGTTCTAGACTCCTGGTTCTAGACTCCTGGTGCTAGACTCCTGGTTCTAGACTCCTGGTGCTAGACTCCTGGTGCTAGCCTCCTGGTTCTAGACTCCTGGTTCTAGACTCCTGGTGCTAGACTCCTGGTTCTAGACTCCTGGTTCTAGACTCCTGGTGCTAGACTCCTGGTTCTAGACTCCTGGTACTAGACTCCTGGTGCTAGACTCCTAGTACTAGACTCCTGGTTCTAGACTCCTGGTGCTAGACTCCTGGTACTAGACTCCTGGTTCTAGACTCCTGGTGCTAGCCTCCTGGTTCTAGACTCCTGGTTCTAGACTCCTGGTGCTAGACTCCTGGTGCTAGACTCCTGGTGCTAGACTCCTGGTGCTAGACTCCTAGTTCTAGACTCCTGGTTCTAGACTCCTGGCTCTAGACTCCTGGTACTAGACTCCTGGTGCTAGACTCCTGGTGCTAGACTCCTGGTGCTAGACTCCTAGTTCTAGACTCCTGGTTCTAGACTCCTGGCTCTAGACTCCTGGTTCTAGACTCCTGGTGCTAGCCTCCTGGTTCTAGACTCCTGGTTCTAGACTCCTGGTTCTAGACTCCTGGTGCTAGACTCCTGGTGCTAGACTCCTGGTTCTAGACTCCTGGTTCTAGACTCCTGGTGCTAGACTCCTGGTGCTAGACTCCTGGTACTAGACTCCTGGCTCTAGACTCCTGGTACTAGAATCCTGGTGCTAGACTCCTGGTGCTAGACTCCTGGTTCTAGACTCCTGGTGCTAGACTCCTGGTTCTAGACTCCTGGTGCTAGACTCCTGGTGCTAGACTCCTGGTTCTAGACTCCTAGTACTAGACTCCTGGTGCTAGACTCCTGGTTCTAGACTCCTAGTTCTAGACTCCTGGTGCTAGACTCCTGGTGCTAGACTCCTAGTTCTAGACTCCTGGTGCTAGACTCCTGGTGCTAGACTCCTGGTTCTAGACTCCTAGTTCTAGACTCCTGGTGCTAGACTCCTGGTTCTAGACTCCTAGTTCTAGACTCCTGGTGCTAGACTCCTGGTGCTAGACTCCTAGTTCTAGACTCCTGGTGCTAGACTCCTAGTTCTAGACTCCTGGTGCTAGACTCCTGGTGCTAGACTCCTGGTACTAGACTCCTGGTGCTAGACTCCTAGTTCTAGACTCCTAGTGCTAGACTCCTGGTTCTAGACTCCTGGTGCTAGACTCCTGGTGCTAGACTCCTGGTGCTAGACTCCTGGTTCTAGACTCCTAGTTCTAGACTCCTGGTTCTAGACTCCTGGTGCTAGACTCCTGGTGCTAGACTCCTAGTTCTAGACTCCTGGTGCTAGACTCCTAGTTCTAGACTCCTGGTGCTAGACTCCTGGTACTAGACTCCTAGTTCTAGACTCCTAGTGCTAGACTCCTGGTTCTAGACTCCTGGTGCTAGACTCCTGGTTCTAGACTCCTGGTGCTAGACTCCTAGTTCTAGACTCCTGGTTCTAGACTCCTGGTTCTAGACTCCTGGTGCTAGACTCCTAGTTCTAGACTCCTGGTGCTAGACTCCTGGTTCTAGACTCCTGGTGCTAGACTCCTAGTTCTAGACTCCTGGTTCTAGACTCCTGGTGCTAGACTCCTAGTTCTAGACTCCTGGTACTAGACTCCTGGCTCTAGACTCCTGGTACTAGACTCCTGGTACTAGACTCCTGGTGCTAGCCTCCTGGTTCTAGACTCCTGGTTCTAGACTCCTGGTGCTAGACTCCTGGTGCTAGGCTCCTGGTGCTAGACTCCTGGTGCTAGACTCCTGGTGCTAGACTCCTGGTTCTAGACTCCTAGTTCTAGACTCCTGGTTCTACACTGCTGGTGCTAGACTCCTGGTGCTAGACTCCTGGTGCTAGACTCCTGGCTCTAGACTCCTGGTACTAGAATCCTGGTGCTAGACTCCTGGTGCTAGACTCCTGGTTCTAGACTCCTGGTGCTAGACTCCTGGTTCTAGACTCCTGGTGCTAGACTCCTAGTTCTAGACTCCTGGTGCTAGACTCCTGGTACTAGACTCCTAGTTCTAGACTCCTGGTACTAGACTCCTGGTACTAGACTCCTGGTACTAGACTCCTAGTTCTAGACTCCTGGTGCTAGACTCCTGGTACTAGACTCCTAGTTCTAGACTCCTAGTGCTAGACTCCTGGTCCTAGACTCCTGGTGCTAGACTCCTGGTACTAGACTCCTGGTGCTAGACTCCTGGTGCTAGACTCCTGGTTCTAGACTCCTGGTTCTAGACTCCTGGTGCTAGACTCCTGGTTCTAGACTCCTGGTACTAGACTCCTGGTGCTAGACTCCTAGTACTAGACTCCTGGTTCTAGACTCCTGGTGCTAGACTCCTGGTACTAGACTCCTGGTTCTAGACTCCTGGTGCTAGTCTCCTGGTTCTAGACTCCTGGTTCTAGACTCCTGGTGCTAGACTCCTGGTTCTAGACTCCTAGTTCTAGACTCCTGGTGCTAGACTCCTGGTGCTAGACTCCTGGTACTAGACTCCTGGTACTAGCCTCCTGGTACTAGACACCACACGAGCACATGTTCAATGTGAAAAGTGACAGTAGATATAGATTAGTTGCAATTTGGTGCTATATATATTAAAAAAAAAAATAATAATATTTTTTTAAACACCTTGAATTTCAGGGGGGGCGAGGGGCTCTGTTGGCGGGGCACAGCGCCCCTCCAAGACAATGGTAGGGGAAACACTGAGGTGTATATCAGCTGAGTGTGTGTGTGTTGCAGGTGTGTACCAGCTGAGAGTGTGTTGTGTTGCAGGTGTGTACCAGCTGAGTGTGTGTGTTGTGTTGCAGGTGTGTACCAGCTGAGTGTGTGTGTGGTGAAGCAGCTCCAGCAGAGTTGTGTCACTCACAGCTTACCTGTCAGCTACAGGTACGTTAACAGCATCCTCCTCATGTTAATAATAAAACATGATGTTATTAATAAAACATGATGTTATTAATAAAACATGATGTTCTCAACGATGCCCCCTCAGGCCGGTGTGTGTGTCCGAGCTGCTCTCACGGCAACACCTCTCCTGCTTCAGTCACCTGTCCTGGAGCACCAATCAGCATCGAGCGTGGGTCCGGGAGGCGGAGCTCTCAGCGCCGGGTCAGGTGTTGCCGAGGGTCAGCCTGCTGCTGATTGGCTGTCTGAGAGAGGGGCGGGACGGAGAGTGGAGGCTGACGGACAGCAGCGGCAGCGTGAGGTGTGAGGTGAGTGGTGCCTTCAGGGACCTGTTGAGTGGTGCCTTCAGGGACCTGGTGAGTGGTGCCTTCAGGGACCTGTAGGGACCTGTAGGGTGGTGCCTTCAGGGACCTGTAGGGACCTGCAGCGTGATGCTTTCAGGGACCTTTAGAGTGGTGCCTTCAGGGACCTGTTGAGTGATGCCTTCAGGGACCTGTAGAGTGGTGCCTTCAGGGACCTGGTGAGTGGTGCCTTCAGGGACCTGGTGAGTGGTGCCTTCAGGGACCTGGTGAGTGGTGCCTTCAGGGACCTGTAGGGACCTGCAGCGTGATGCTTTCAGGGACCTGTAGAGTGATGCCTTCAGCGACCTGTAGAGTGATGCCTTCAGGGACCTGTAGAGTGGTGCCTTCAGGGACCTGTAGGGACCTGCAGCGTGATGCCTTCAGGGACCTGCAGCGTGATGCTTTCAGGGACCTTTAGAGTGGTGCCTTCAGTGAGCTGTAGGGACCTGTAGAGTGGTGCCTTCAGGGACCTGTTGAGTGATGCCTTCAGGGACCTGTAGAGTGGTGCCTTCAGGGACCTGTAGAGTGATGCCTTCAGGGACCTGTAGAGTGATGCCTTCAGGGACCTGTAGAGTGGTGCTCTTGGGGACCTTTAGCAGGGATGCAAACTTGTCACCTTTCGGCGTAATTCGCCGTTTTGAATCCAAAATAGGTCGTTTGTGTGATTCATGTAGATCTGCAATAACAACATTTTTGGGGTATGGGGGGGGGGGGGGTCTGGGACCCGGAGTAATCTGCGGCCGCGAGCTGTTATGTGCCATCATGACACGCATGGTGTTCTTTTTGTATATATGATAATGCAGCGCGAGCTGTGTGCTCGAGTCTTCCTGTCGGCTCTGCTATTGGATGTATAATAATCAGGGTTCGTACGGGTGCTGGAAATCCTTGAAAATGCTTGAAATTGTACGAGGTGTTTTCAAGGTTTGAAAAGTGCTTGTGTGTGTGTATTGTGTGTAGTGTGTATTGTGTGTGTGTGTAGTGTGTGTGTGTGTGTATTGTGTTTGTGTGTGTGTGTGTGTAT